GAAAACAAAATTTTACAGAAACAATGTAAATTAATGGTTCAGAGGGCAGAAAAGCCACGAGATCAGAAAGACAAAGAGGAAGAGATTTTAGAAGAAAGTGATTCTTGGGAATCTCTCCCTTTCCCAACGGCACCCCCTACCCCATTATGCGCCGGGGGCTGCGGCTACTGCCCCCTTGGCCACGACTCTGAGACCCAGCAATGGTCGGAAATCAGAAAGACAGGCTAAGAAAACAGAGGAAAATTTACATCCCCGATTAGAGGAAGTGGCCTCTGCTTCTCACACCCACAGTGGTGTTCAGTTGGGCCAGGGGCCTCCCTCTTCTGATAAAGGGCAAGGGCAGTTTCCTCTTCACCAGATTTCAGCAGGAATCGATGATCAAGGGGTGCTGGACCTTGAAGTTTTTTCAGATGGCTGCAGCTTCATGGATCAAGGGACTTGACTGGCTGGATATGTTTAGTGTCCCTTCACGAGACCTCAGAGTCGGAAGTCCTTCCTCCTGGAACTTCAGCCCGGAAGGCCAAACTCATCACACTGACCAGAGCATTAGAACTGGGAAGAGGTAAAAGAATCAACGTTTACGTGGATTTGAGGTATGCTGCTTCTACTCTGCATGCACATGGGGCCGTGTGGAAGGAGAGGGGATTACTAACATAAGCCAGTAAAGTTAAATATGTGACTGAAATTTTAAAGCTGGTACAAGCAGTCCTCCTCCCCACCGAGGTGGCTGTTATACACTGTCCAGGCCGTCAAGCCAGGGATAACACCTTAGGCAAAGGGAATCACCTAGCCCATCAGGAAGCTAAGGAAGCTGGAAAAGCCAAAACCCCAGCACAGATTTTGGCCCTCTTGCCTGATATAGACCTATAGGCCTTCACTCAAGGATATTCTCAACAAGGTAAAGAAAAAGTGGGACAATGGGTTTTCTCAGAAGATAAAACAAAAAACAGGTGGATGTATAATGACAATGGACAAATATTAGTACCCGCACACCTTATGTATGATGTAGTACAAGCTGCCCACCTCACCACCCATTATGGAAGGGATGCCCTGGCCACCTGGCTACAAAAGCTGATTGTGGGGACTGACTTATATAAAAATGTTCAGCTTGTCACCCAGCAATGCATGTTCTGCACTAAAAAGAATCCCAAGACAGGACCACCCCCACTGGAGTGCAAGCCAGAGGTATGGGACCCAGGGAAGATTGACAGATAGACTTCACAGTCATGGCACCAGCGACTGGAGGGATTAAATTCTTACTTGTCTTTGTAGACACTTTCACTAACTGGATAGAGGCACTCTCTTGCAGAACAGAGAAGGCCGCTGAAGTAAGTAAAGACTTGCTGAGGGAAATCAATCCAAGGTTTGGTTTACCTGTCTCCATTCAGAGTGACAATGGAGGAGCCTTTGCAGCCCAAGTGGTTCCACAGGTTTCAGGACTTTCAGGAATTAAATGGAGGCTGCACGCCTCCTGGAGGCCACAAATGTCAGGAAAGACTAAAAAGATGACTCAGACCTTAAAGAAAACAATGGCCAAAATCCGTCAGGAAGCCATCCTTACTTGGCTTCATGTTATTCCCGTTGCCCTTCTCAGAATCAGGGCAACCCCTAGAAGCAGACTCCAGCTGAGTCCATACAAAATGCTAAATGGGAGACCCTTCCTCAAACCCTGGGACCCTGGGCATCGGAGTCACTCGGACTACGCAGAGTTGCCTGTGACCAGAGAAGTAGATAAAGTCAGGTATGTACAAACTCTTTCTATTACTTTAAAGGCTATTAACTATTACGCAGCCAGCAGACTTATGTTTCCCACAGATACCCCACACCATAACCTAAGTCCTGGAGACTTGGCGCTGCTCAAGAATGGGAATGACTGGACTCCTAGCCAACAATTATGGGCTCGATGGGAAGGACCTTATAAAGTTCTCCTGGTCACTCATTCCTCGGCCAGATTAAAGGGGGTCTGACATTGGTTACATCACTCCAGACTCAAGCTTGTGCCCCAGTATGAGACCGATCCTCCTCAAACCAACCAGACCACTCATCCCTGTGACACAGGGAATGGATTGACAGGGGACAGTGAGTTGAGAGGAGCCCAACCACCCCAATCTTTGCTGGTTACATCAACCTGGAGAGACAGAATATGATATTGAGCCTGTTAATGGACTAAAATTCCTGTTTGAAAAGAAGAAAGTTCCTAGCAGCTAAGTAACCCCAGCTTTTATTTATTGATATTTTCTGTGCATTAGACCCAGTGTGCCCTAGGGACAGACTGCGGTTGTCTTAGCATGACTGTTTGCTATACTGGTTGTCATTTTCTGGGCTTGTGTGATTTACTGTGTCCTCCCTGCTGGACTTAACCATTTTCTCTGCTCCAAGTAAGAGCCAGAGTACTTCTCTTCTCTCCTGTGCCCAAAAGAAGAGGTCCCTAGCCCTTTTATACGTGTTTGAGATCATCATCACAGCCATAGGTCAATGGGCTGATAATGCTATGATCAAATGGGCCTCCGCAGTACCGCATGGTGAAAACCTCCTCTTGTTAGATATGTCAGCAGAACCCAGGGAGTAACTCTAGCAGGAGTAAACCCTGTGCCACCTTTGTGAACAACTTCACTGGCGTACCCCACCCCCTCCACTTCCTCGGTCTACCCCCTCAGTCCCTTTTTCCGAGCTATGGGCTGCGAATCTCAGCCCAGTCACTTTCTAGCACACTAGCCTTTTGTTTCCCCCTCACTTCCAGTACTTCCTTAACAATTAATTACACCTTTTACTCCCAGTGCCTTCAAGGGGCCAGTGCCTCTGCCCTCAGATCTGGGAAGTGCCCTGACTAGTGAGTGTAACAGGTGATGGACACTTGGAAGAACTTTAGCGTCCACCTGTGTCTTCTCCTTGCTCTCACCAGTTTTACTGAAAATAGGTTAAAGGCTACTGGTCTTTTGGTCCTCCCTACTCCTCCCCAGAGCAAAGGGCACATGCCTCTCCAGCTTCTGGACCAGAAATCTCAAATCCAGACTTATGCAAAGGCCTTTGTCCAACAGTGCCCCCGTTCAGCAGGAAGCAGCCACGAGCTGTCATCGCCTGCATTCCCACGATTGGCAATGGTACAAACCACAAGGGGGAGTTGTTAGGGGACCCTAGAGGCAGAGGACACCAAATTAATTAGTACCCCACCAGTTATCAGGCCACTCCCAGTCACTTCCCCACCAGGTCACTCACTTCCTCTAAGCTGTTTTGCAAACTCGCTGGAGAGTCCCGGACAGGTCCAGATCTAACCAGCTCAGAATGGTCAGACATGCGCAGAACAGACAAAGATGATCAACAGAAGACCCCGGGCCACCAGGCATGCTCAAGAACTCATGCCAAGGAACAAAAAGACTCATGTCAAAGAACCAAAATCACGGACATACTTTATCTGCAGTAGCCGAGCCCATGTCAAAAGTGAAGAGTCCATCGGCCGCTCCCATGTCAAGTCTTAGCCCCGCCCCATAATAAATAATCAATAGAAACTATGACTACGTAGAACTTCCTGATCCTGCACACCTGCCTTCCTCCACCCCTGTATGAATATGTATAATTCCCCAAACCTATAAAATGAAAATGCTTCCTCAAATTGAGGAACTCAATCTGAGGTTGATAACCTCTGAGTTCCCGCTTGCTAGCCTGCAAAATAAACTCTTTCTTCCTCTCAAAACCAGCATCTGAGAGATTGGCTCCTCACGCACTGGGCATGGACCCATTGCTCCGGTGTCACCAAAACATAGGTAGCCTGTCTCTCTTGGACTCTTTGACATCCCTCTCGTTGAGCTGAGCTGTTCTCTCCCTGTCTTTCTCTCCATGTCTCATTGTGTGCATGTCTTCCTCTGACCTTTATGATCTCTGTGTTTAACTCTCTCACTATCTCCTTTCTAGGTGTCTCTGTTTTTTTCTCTAGACTCTGACCTCCAGGAGTGCAGAGACTGAATCCGGTTTGCTTGCTGTCCAGTGGGCTCAAGTCTGTCCCATCATCCCTGTGACCTGCACCCACACAGCCCCTGGCAGGGGTCAGCCCATATTTGCCAAATATGTGAACGAATGTGTCCATGTTTGCCTGTCTCTTCCTGGCCTTTGGTCTCTCTTTCTCTCTCCTTTAAACAGGAGGTCTGTGTCTTGCCTACAAAGCTAAGCAAACCACTTTCCACTACCAAGGACTCTGACCTAGGGGATAGTGGAAGAGGCTGCACAGGTTCGGCTCATTATTATTACTCCCCATTGCTAACCTCCACATTGTCTCATGATTTTTTTTCCCCTCCATTCCAGTCTCTATAAAAAGTTTAAGATTAACTAATGTTCCTCCTTGGAGGGTGGAAAACAAGTGATAATGTGTGTCAAAGAAGAGCTATGCTCCATGGGGTTTTCTTTTCTTTCCCTTTTTTTTTTTTCCCCTCCCATAGGATTTTCAATGGCTGATTTTTCAGAAGCAGATAACCAGGCTTTTCTTCTGAGTCACCTCTGGGTCTACTTGAACCTCCAATCTTTCAGTCAGCAGTCGAGCATATTAACTCGGGACTCCTCAGGACTTACTAGAACTCTGAAAGTGGGCATTTAAGAGAAATTAGGTAAAATATCCTTCAAATGCTCAAAAGAAGGTGAATTGGGAAAAGATATTGACCTGAATAGGACTTGAAATGCATACCCAGTCATGTCCCTGCTTTTCCTAAATGCCCTCCAGGGCCTCCCATTGCCCTCAGGACACAGTCCTGGCTCACCAGATCCTCAAAGTCTGGCCCCTGCTGACCACTGCTGACCAAGACCATCACTCCCCACTCCCCCATGGCTCTGGCACACTGCACTTCACCAACCCCCTGAGTTGCCCTTCCTGCCTCAGGGCCCACTTCCACCTCATTGCTCCCCTGATTTTAGTTCCTTGTCAGTGTGAACTTCTCTGGAAGCCCAGACAGGAAAGTTCTACCTGCTGTAACCTGGGCCCTCCCTGCAGGCATTGCCTTCAGCCAGGGTGAGTGATGGAGGACTCTGAGGAGGTTTGCCCTGTCCATTCTCAAGACCTGGGCCTGAGGAGGCAGATCCTGGAAGAGCAGATCCAGGAGATGGTCGGCTGCATGGAGGAGTTAGAGAAGATGTGTGGTGAGAGCGGGGACTGAAGAGAGTCAGACGTGTGTGCACATGTGCCCCTGCAAACACGTGTGTTTGCGTGTATGGGTGTACACATGTGTATGTGCATACATGAAAGTGTGTGTATGTGCTCGTGTGTGCTGTACATGTGCACATGTGTGCAAGTCCACATGTATGCACACAAGTGTGTGTGTGTGCTGTATGTGTGGGCATGTGTGCTTGTCCTCATGTATGCATACACGTGTGGGGGGGTGTTGCATATGTGCACTTGTGTGCAAGCCCAGGTCTTCTCACCATGCCACCTTGCACAAGCCCCTTCCCCTCTTGGAGCCTTCATCTCCTCATAGCTATTAAGGGCAATTGGACTCAATCCAAGTGGTTTCCAAAACCCAGGGGTTCTAGAAAGTGTCTCAGGGAGCTCCTGTCTGTAAAGGTAATACTGGCATTTGCTTCCATTCCTTTTCCTTAATTGATCAATACAATAACAAATTATACATATTAGATTCAAAACCAGATCACTTTGAGAGTCTCTGAGGGCAAGGCCACTGCTAGCCCATGAGGTGCCCCTCTATGAATTAGAAAAGATGTCCCTTTTCAAGACACTTACCGCCATTTGCCAGGAGTTGTCATAATAGACACATACATCCAGGATATCCATGCCGTAATGGGGCCCGTTAGATGCGGCATCTTTGTGCAGTGCACAACCTGCACAGCCTCCTTGATGGTCCTCATGGTCTTCATGTGGGCTGAACCCTCAGCCTGCAACGTGCTTTCTTCCCCCTTTCTTAACTTGGCTAACTACTGGTGCTTCAGGTCTTGGCTCAGATCGCCACCGCTCCAAGAAGACTTCACTGACCCCCTCCCCACTCCAGCCTCCTCTGGTTCCCAAAGCCTCCTCTGCCTTCCTATCCCGACCCTGACCTCTCTGCCTGTGCCCCACCCCCGAGTCCTGACCCTGACCACTCGGGTCTACATTTCCCCATCCTGGTCCCACCCCCTCTGGTCTAGGACTCCCCGGCCCCGCCCTCTCTGTGCTCCCTTTCTCCTGTCCCAGCTCCGCCCCCTCTGTGTTTCCCCTGTCCAGCCCAGAATGCTCCAGACTCTGGTGGGGGAAGCCCCGAGTGGTCTCCTGACCAAAACTTGGAGGAGGTTTCAGGGAAGGCCTCCTGGAGGAGGAGATGGCTGTGCTGACACTTGGGGATAAATAGAAATTAATCCTTTGGGAGAGAGAGGAGAAGGGCAAAGGGCACAGCATGGACAAAGACCCAGAGATGAGAAAGCTCATGGACCAGGAAGATGGCTCAGGAGAGCTAGGAAAACGCCATGCATCTGGGGATGGGAAGGGAGAAGGAGACCGTACAGAGAAAGTGTCTTAGCACCTACTGTTCCATCTGCTTTCATTGCTGTTGCCTATCCTTCCTCTGGAAAAAGTTCTTTTTTCTAGCACCTGTAGGGTGGGAGTAGACAGTGAGAGATGAAGCAGGAGCAGAGCCAGACAAGGGGGCCTTTAGTTCAAGTTAAAAGCTGAACTCTCTCTTGAGAACACTGGGAAGCCATGGAATGATTTTGAGCAGAGGAGTGACATGGTTAGGTTTATGCTTTGGAGGTATCCCTGCCATGTGGAGGGTGAGGTGGTGGGCTGCCCCGGTGACTGGCAGAGCAGTTGACCCCTTCTGCTCTTTCGACAGGCATCCCCTTTGACCCCACCTTCCTGGTTCGCCGCTAGGTCTCCAGCATCATCTGCTCTGTGGTCTTTGACTGTCGCTTTGACTACCAGGATGAGGACTTCAAGACTTTCCTAGGGCTGCTGGCTGAAAACATGAGGCGGATGGGCACGTTTTGGGTGCAGGTATTTGAAGCCCATCAGTCCCATAGTCCTTCTTCTAAGATTCCATCATTCAATTCAAAGGTTCTCCATGAGCCCTTATTTTGTGTCCAGCTCAAGTACTGCAGACACAGCAGTGGCTAGGACAGTCCTGGTCCTGTCCTTAAGGAGATCACAGTCCAGTGGGGCAGACAAACCCAACAGCAGACAGTGACAACCCAAAATGGTCAGGGCTAGGATGGGGGAGGTGCAGGCAGGGGTCTCGTCAGGGTAGGGGAGGCACAGACAGCTGGAGCAGCACAGAACCAGTGCCTGACATAGTCTGACAAGTTGAGATGTAAGTGATGAATGGGAGTAAACCAGCAAAAAGTAAAAGGAAGGATAGGGAACAGCATTGAAGGCAGATGGAACAGCAGGTGCTAAGACATTTTCTCTGTAGGGTCTCCTTCTCCCTTCCCATCCCCAGCTGCATGGCCTTTTCCTAGCTTTCCTGAGGCATCTTCCTGGTTTTGAGAAGCAGAAGGAGTTTGGGGCCCAAATAGTGAGAGAACATGAGGTCTCTCTGGACACAGCTCAGCCCTGGCACTTCATCGATGCCTTCCTCATTCACGTGCAGCAAGTGAGACTTGGAGCAAGATTCCATTCTATTCCAGGTCTATGAGAACCAAAGGTCTTGGAGCATCCATGGGATGGGAATCAAGAGACTTGGTTCCCAAAACCCACTCTGCCTCTCAGTTTACTGTGTGACCAGGTACAATTTTCTCCACATCTAAGGGTCTCAGTTTTTCAACTAGTAAAGTTGATGTGCTTAGAGTGTAGCCGTTGGCCTAGATCCAGGGCTATATAAGTAGGCTTCATCTCATATGTCAGCTTTGTTCATTTGATAATGGTGGCGTGACAAGAATTCTGAGGGTTAATGGGATAGAGTTCTGTGATCGATTGGTGATGTCTGCTGTGAGCAAAGACTAAGGCAATGAGTTTGCTCACCACCTTTGCCATCCCTGGTCTAGACAGGGGGTCTCTTTCTACTCTTCTCTAACTCCGACCTTCTGTGCTTTCGTATGTAGGAGCAAGAGGATCCCCACACAGACTTCAGCCAGGAGAATTTGCTCAATTCTGCACTCAACATCTTTTTTGCTGGGATGGAGACAACCCTCACCATACTCGGATATGGGCTTCTGATTCTCCTGAAGTACCCACAGGTTACAGCTTAGGACCAGCTTCTTCACTCCTCAGCCTGATGTTGTTAAGCTGGGTGCAGGTCAGGCAAGCAAAGGACTAAAGAACCGTAATGCACTGATGTTTAGAGGACAGAGCGTAACTATGGTTATTGCAATCCTAAATTTGAAATCTGGGCAGGTGAGGGTAGGGGTAGGTGCCCAAGGCAGTAAGCCCTCTCACAGTCCGCACTTTGTTTTTCCCACCCTTTCTGGATGAAGCAGAACTCATAAAGCAAGAGATTGACCGTGTGGTGTAGCCAGAGAAGCGGCCCGCCTGGGGGACAGTGCCCAGATGCTGTACACAGAAGCTGTCCTCCATGAGATCCAGAGGTTTGCTGACATTGTACCTCTGGGCGTGCCCTGTGCTGTCACCCAGGGCACCCAGTTCCGGGGATATCACATTCAAGATATGAGCTGAGTGTGGGTCCTTTTTGGCTCAGCTGGAGTGGCAGGTCCTCTAGGTACAGCTACAAAATTGGGCCTCTCAGTATTAGGTTCCTAGGTCCTTCCAGAGGCTGACCCCACCCCAACTGCCTCAACCTAAGCAGGGCTTGGATCCCTGGCTTCCTGATGGAGCACCATAGTGCAGCAGTTAAGAACTAGGGCTCTGGAGTCACCTGGAATCCCAGCTTTTCTACTTACCAGCTGTGTGACCTTGGGCAAGTGACTCAATCTCTCTGAACCTTCATCTCTTCTTCTATACAGCGGGGATAATAATACTACCAAACTATGGTGCTGTTATAAGGACCCAGTGGGCTGATAAACAAACAAAAAAAACCAAACCCAGTGCCATTGAGTCAGTTCTGACTCATAGCACCCCTATAGAACAGAGTAGAACTGCCCCATAGGGTTTCCAAGGAGCAGCTGGTAGATTCGAACTCCTTTTAGTGGGTTGATAATACATAGCAAATGTTCAAAAAATTTAGGTACTTTGATTACTGTTACAACCAGAGGCACCTCAGGAGCCCTGGTGGTACAGTAGTTAAGCGCTCAGCTACTAAACAAAAGGTTGGTGGTTTGAATCCACCAGCAGCTCCTTGGAAACCTACCCTATGGGACAGTTCTACTCTGTCTTATAGGGTCACTAAGAGTCAGAATCGACTTGATGACAACGGATTTTTTTTAAATGGGTTTTTTTATTGTCTTTTCCCGACAGCGAAGACAAGCCATCTTGTCAAAGCTGTTAGGTCACATCCCCACTCTACTCCAGACTTCTCCCTGACTCCTATGGCACTCTGCATAAAAGCCAAATAGCCCACAAGACTCTGCTTGATCTGACCCCCAGTCCCCCTTCTGAGATCATCTCCTATGCTCTTCCTTGTTCCTTCCTGCCACACTCGGCCTCTCCATGATTTTTTGCTTAGTCAGGGCTTCTCCCACCTCAGGGCCTTTGCGCTGGCTGTTCCCTCTGCCTGGAATGCTCTTCCCTCAGATGTCCTCATGGCTCCCTCCCTCTGTTCCTTCAGAATTTGCTCAGAGGTCACTGTCTCAGGGAAGCCTTTCCTGGCCCCCAAATGAGAATCTGGTAGCACTGTTTGTAGGGGAGTGTCTGTGTGGTTTGATCCAAGTGGGGTAGTTGTGTCTGTTGGCAGGTGCGGAGCTATGGAGTGTCACAATGAAGGAGAGTAGGCAGTAAAGCCTGTACTGTCCCAGCCAAATTGATGGGGCTCTTTTGAAACTGTCTGGCCCTGGAATTATCCTGAAAGAGAAGTCCTGGGTCCACCCCCCTCATTTGTGAGTACAGAGTGTCTTGAGTCAGCTTCCTAGAAACAGACTCTGAGATGGAGATGTGCATGCAACAGGTTGACCAGAGGCCTCTAGGGAACTACCTTGTGGGGGTCAAGGGCCGCAGGACTGAGCTCAGGGCCCAGGGGAACTGTGACGCACTGAGGACCCCAGATTGAGGTGAGGGGCTGGGCTTTATACTTCTGCCAGTCAGTGGATATGGGCTTTCCATGGGGAAGAACATCCACTTTGATGTGGCAGCTCCCTTTGGTCAAAAGCAATTCCCTGATGCAGGTCTGATCTGTGCCTTAAGCAGTGGGGACACCCAGGCAGTGGGGAATGAGTGTCTCCATCATGAAGGGGAGAGGTTTGGCTGGCCCCCACAGCACCGACTATGTAGGACAGTGTGCAAATGGAGGCCTACACACCCGCGTGTCTAAGTATTTGGCAACATTAGATCAAACTGTTGTTGTCAGAGGCCATAGAGTCTGCCCCTGACTCATGGAGACCCCAAGCACAATGGAACAAAATGTTGCCCGGTCCTGCACCATCCCCATGATTGGTTGGGGATCGGACCATTGTGATCCACAGGGTTTTCACTGGCTGATTTTCAGAAGTAGTTTGACCGGCCTTTCTTCCTAATCTGTCATAGTCTGGAAGCTCTGCAAACCTGTTCAGCATCAGAGCAACATGCAAGCCTCCACGGACAGATGAGTGATGACTGGAGGGAGTGCCTGAGCCTTGGTCAGAGGTAGCCTGGATGTCCCCAAATGTCCTCAGTGTCAGGCTCAGTGTTTGCTTATTTGCTTGAATTGACAGCAAAACCACTCGTAGGTGGAGAGGCTAAGAAGTCTGTGATGTGTTGAGAAGCAGACAGAACAGCTAAAAATGATCTAGAAGAGGTGAACATTCTCATAGGGTGCTGAAATCCACATTTGGAGTCATCAGTGATATAAATAATACCAGGGTGGCCACTAGCTTTTAGAATGCACCTTTGTGAGAATAAAAAAGGGCACCTTCCCCAGGTACGTGGTGTGAAGAAGGGACCCTTCTTAAATTTCTGTCCCCTTGGGACAGAGCACAGTGGTTAAGAGCACATCTGCTAACGAAAAGGTCCACAGATCGAATACACTAGCCGCTCCTTGGAAACCCTATGGGGCGGTTCTACTCATTCCTATAGGTCTCTGTGAGTTGGAATCGACTTAATGACAAGTTTTGGTTTTGGTACAGAGCACAACCTTTGTGACCTCATGTGGTAGCCCTAAGGAACAGTAACAACCATTTATTGAGTGTTTGTTGTTGTTGTTAGGTGCCCTCAACCCAGTTCGGACTCATAGAGACTCTATGTACAACTGAACAAAACAGTGCCTGGTCCTGTGCCATCTGCACAGTTGTTGTTATGCTTGAGCCCGTTGTTGCAGCCACTGTGTCAATCCATCTTGTGGAGGGTTTCCCTCTTTTTTGTTGACCCTCTACTTTATCAAGCATGATCTCCTTCTCTAGGGACTGGTCCCTCCTGATAACATGTCTGAAGTATGTGAGATGAAGTCTCACCCCCTTTACTTCTAAGGAGCATTCTGACTGTACTTCTTCCAAGACAGATTTGTTCGTTCTTCTGGTAGTCCATGGTATATTCAATATTCTTCACCAACACCATAATTCAAAGGTGTCAATTCTTCTTCAGTATTCCTTATTCATTGTCAAGATTTCGCATGCATATGAGATGATTGAAAACACCATGGCTTGGGTAAGGCACACCTTAGTCCTTAAAGTTGCACCTTTGCTTTTTAAGACTTTAAAGAGGTCTGTTGCAGCAGATATGTCCAATGCAATGGATCTTTTGATTTCTTGACTGCTACGTCCATGGGCGTTGATTGTGGATCCAGGTAAAATGAAATCCTTGACAACTTCAATATTTTCTCCTTATATCATGATGTTGCTTATTGGTCCAGTTGTGCAGATTTTTGTTTTCTTTAGGTTGAGGTATAATCCATACCAAAGGCTGTGGTCTTTGATCTTCATCGGTAAGTGCTTCAAGTCCTCTTCACTTTCAGCAAGTAAGGTTGTGTCATCTGCATAATGCAGGTTGTTAATTAGTCTTCCTCCTATCCTGGGGACCTGATCTTCTTCATCTACTCCAGCTTCTTGGAATATTTGCTCCACGTACAGACTGAATACGTATGGTGAAAGGATACAACCCTGATGCACACCTTTCTTGACTTTAAACCACACAATATCCCCTTGTTCTGTTTGAATGACTTCCTCATGGTCTATGTACAGGTTCTGCATGAGCACAATTAAGTGTTCTGGAATTCCCATTCTTCACAATGTTATCCATAATTTGTAATGATCCACATAGTCAATGCCCATGGAAGCAGCAGTCAAGAAATCAAATGACATATTACATTGGCAAATCTGCTGTAAAAGACCACATTAAAGTGTTAAAAGCAAATAGTCACTTTAAGGAATAAGGTATGCCTGACCCAAGCCATGGTATTTTCAGTTGTCTCATATGCATGTGAAAGCCGGACAATGGGTAAGGCAGACCAAAGAAGAATTGACGCCTTTGAGTTATGGTGTTGGTGAAGAATATTGAATATACCATGGACTGCCAGAAGAATGAACAAATCTGTCTTGGAAGAAGTACAATCAGAATGCTCCTTAGAAGCAAGGA